AATGCTCTGACACCATATTGCAGTGTAATTTCATCGCACCTAATCCTACTGACACTGCATCGCATATCTCGGGGTGATAGAACATCGGATAGGCCCATCCGATACAAATATCTTGGCAGTGTATTTGGGTGAATGTCAGGGGTGGCTTCTGTCAGGCTACCACCTGGCTGGGAATTCAATGGGGAAGGGTGTCTGGCACCCTAAATGGTAATCTAGCAAGAAGTATTTAGGACCTCCAAGTATTGACTTCAGCTAGTTGACCTCTCAATAGAGGACTTACATCCCTTCTGAATTTTCTTAGGACTTTAATGGAGGGGCTTCTCAAGGATAGGCCTATATCTATTCTTCTAATGGCTCAACTCTCTCTATGTCACAAGCCAAAGGCACTTGATGGCTTGAGTGTTTCAAATCTAGTCCTTGCTGTCCTGAAGAGAAAGGGATTTTCAAGTTAAGGTCACCAACCTTTGCTGAACCCTTTCCTTTACACCTATAACACCATGCACTATTGAGCAGAGTTCTTAATTATAAGACTCCTCAATGTTGTGCTTATTGTGTTATTTAGGTGATTGGTAAAAGGTTAGGGGAGGGGACAACTCCTGAGCAGGAAAGCAGGTGTTTATATACCTTTCAGGTTACCTCCTCCTTACTTTTAGAATATGGGCTAACTTGTGGTCCCATTTCAGGGAGTAGCTCCTGTCAGGCTACTTCCTAGCTGAAGTTTAGTCTACACTTGTTACACCCAAGTGCAGACTACAGCTAGATGACCTCTGATGAGAGGATTTAGGGAGGACTGGTCCTTCTTGGACTGAGGTGATGTTTCAAGGAGAGCTACAGTTGAGCACAACAAATTCCTAGCTCCAATCCTTGTTCTTTAAACAGGTGCTCTTATTTCTGCTTGGGGTTATTTATCTCTACCTTTGTGAGTTCTCACTGACAAAGGGTCTACAAGACTCTGAGGTTGACCAACCTGAATGATGACCTTTATTTAATTACACCTTTGCCCTGTGCACTACTGAGCAGATGACTTTTATGTAAGTATCCTCAGGGGTGTGCTTAATGGGTTATTTAGGTTGTTCTGGGTAAAAGGTGAGGAGAGTGGACCACTCCTGAGCAGAGGAAGGGGGTTTATATTGTCACAAGGAAGAAAAGTATTTGGGCACTATGGGATTCAAACCCATGACTTATTTTACCCCAAACTCTAGAAGGGTGCCCTGGCCACTGAGCTAAGTGTGCATGGTCAATCAAGTGTTAAGTGGGGATCTATGCATGTACAGTCTGACAACCCAAAATGTCATGTGTGCTTACAACCTTAGTCTGAATACTGTAGTACAGACAGCATAGAACATGTCACTATAGCAACATATATACCTTTCATGCTACCTCTTCCTTGTTTTTAGAATATGGGCTGACTTGTGGTTTCAGCTCATGCTAATACAGGGCCATGTGGGTCAACCTGTGGTTGGTTACTCTAATGTCAGGGCCTGCTGATTGGCCCCTGTCATAAGTATATCATACTCATGACTCTCGAGACTAAGCCTGAGATGTGGTTCAATTGTTGCACTACTTCATTACATATGTAGTACATATGTTACTGTATGTTTCTACATATGTAATACATATGTTACACTATGTTTTACATATGTACATTACTTATTGTTCATGTAATACATATTTTATACTATGTATTACACTTATTTCTCCTGGTTACTATACCTGTGACTGTCTGGTTTTGGTCTGTGGGACTGTTACACAGTCTTCAGGGCTGACATCCCAGCTCATGCTACTACAGGCACTGCCAAGATATTTGTATCGGATGGGCCTATCCGATGTTCTATCACCCTGAGATATGCGACGCAGTTTCAGTAGGATTAGGTGTGATGGAATTACACTGCAATATGGTGTCAGAGCATTAGATACCAATAGTAATTCCATCACACCTAATCCTACTGACACTGCATCGCATATCTTGGGGTG